TTATTATTGCTGAGCGATCTCGCGGGCGTTCTGTCGGGCGGGTGTAGGGGGGAGCGATGTGGGTCGCGAAGAGGGGGGAGCGAACCGGAGAGGGCCCGTGAACGTCCGATATGGCGCACCGGATCCCCCTGGGGGCGTTGCGCGTTGCGCTGCTCCGGTGTCGATAACACACGGCTCGCTTCGCTTCCGCAGACTTTAATTGGCAGTTTCGGCGTCGCGCACGCCTACGCGCGCCCGTCGTATATTATACGATATAATCGCTTGGATTGAAAATCCACTCAAGGCGCGGCGGCGGCGGCGGCGGAGCATAGGAGGGCAGAGCCGCCGCCGCGACCAAGTCGCCGGCAAAATTTTAGCGTGATGCCGTCCGCGCGTGCCGGTAGCGTGGTTGGAGGGGGGTACCGTTTGTCTATATACAATAATATTGTACGCGCGCAACAATATAATACGTATACAATGTATATAATAGTATAATATAATATTATGTTGTATACTTTCGTCGTTATTGTGTGTTTTATCAGAGTAGAGACACGCCGCGCCGTGCACCATTCTATTATAAGCACCTTTTATGATGTGCATGTAGGTACGTGCGTATTTGTGTTATTGTGTATAGTATATTTTAAAATGTAATATCCCCCCCCCCCAATACAACATGCGTGTATTGAATATAACATGAGTATACGTAAATAATGAATACGAGTATGAATACACCACGACCCTATATGGAAGTCCAAAACGATTTTATCCGCATAAAACCAAAGAGAATCTCAACAAATATAGTTCAATAAAAACCGCCGGAATATTTTGATAATTAACACGTGCCTCGTCTATACGAGATATACTGAACGCTAATAGAAGTACTATAGGCGAAAATATTAGTACTCTGCGATTGTTTAGATTTTCTAACCAAATCACGACAACAAAATCTGAAATAACGAAAACCGTTATTGCGTAAACTATCCCGTTTTACGTATATTTTTCTAATTAAAAATGTGAAGTAGGTACATTCTCATAAAAATCTCCCAAATGCACCGACTAGGCAGAATTTCTACCAGTGCCTATCAAGTCGATAATCGGAACAAGATTTGGTAGAAAAGTTTTTTACAGACAGAAAAAAATAACTAAAATATTATACGAGTGAATTACCATAGTAAAATGTAAAAACAATAGTTTTTGCTTCGCTCAGTGTCTAAAAATGATAGTCATATTACGGGTGTTAAAATATTTCACATCATCTGAAAAACATGTTTGTCTAATCGTTACATAGGAGAGATCATTGTTTTAATTATCCTTGTGATTTTGTTAATAACTGAGAAAACTCAAGGAAAAACGTAAGAAAAACGGAAATGTTTACGGAAAAAAACGGTTTCTTCATATTACTTTAAACTTCGTAAAATAATCGTAGGGACCTGACATTTTCACAGAGTACTTATATTAGCACAGCAGGATAGTACACCTTACCTTAGGGGAGCAAATGATGCTACGAATTTAGCGAACCCGGGGCCCTGAGATCTTACTGGTGGAAAACCTAGGTGGGTGATTCCAATAGGCAGTGCCTCCCCCCACCGAAGAAAAAAAAAAGTTTCATAAATGAATTGCTACGAAGATATAGAGAAAGAGAACATTGATTTATACGGAGTGATTTTAGATTTTCAGTGTAGCGAAGAATGTATTGATTTTACTAAGATGTTTATTTTTTTTTTATCCTGTGTACAAAAATTCTACCAGAAGTCTTGTTCAGATATACACGCGCGGCACCATTTCTGAAAGGGAATGTTATCCAGGTGGTAATTTTGGGAGTCATTTTTTTAATTTTCGAAGCGGTTTTCATAATATATGGGAAAAACCAGGATAAGCCATAAGAAAAACGGGAAATTTACGAAAATAATGCTTTTAATATTTTTCAATTTTGTTATTTGTTGTAATTCAGTTAAAAATATTTGTAGAGACTTGAAATTTTGACAGTAAACGTATATTTGCCTTTTCTAGTCGTGGTCAAATAATTTGAAAAAACGCCATTGCCAGTAGGCCTATTATATTGTTTCTGTAAAATAGTGAAATTTATTTCATTGTTTACAATACTATTCTCCTTGTAGGAAGAGGGTCAAAATATTCATTTGGTACCCTATAAGAGGGTATCAAATAGGGTTATGTTAAATCAAAAGCTGATAAAAAATCTGTTAAACAGTATAAAGAGTTCTAAACAAAACTTTGGTGGATTTTCCTATTTCATGTGTGAGAGTAAATCTGGTGAGAGGAAGTACAATGATGCATAATGTTTTCAAATAATATAGATTCGATAATCTAGAAATCGAAAATTTAGAATAAATTAACACTAGACTGAGGAATAGAGAGTAGCACTTTAAATAAAGGGACTAAAGATATATAGAAGTAAGTCAGATTATGAGTACGGAGGAACAAAACAAGACTGCGTTACGAAAATAAGCGGTGTGTAATTGGCGAGGTTGAGATTTTTAAGTAAGATCTTTTGTAAAAAAGAGCGGTGACTCTAATGAGAATGTGGAATATTGGACTAAGAGTGGTTGGATAAAGTAAAAAAAAGCTTGATGTGACAAGAAAATTCCAAATTTCCAAAGAGACTTAAAGTTGAGTTCTAAAAAAATTTGATGAGACTGACTTGGTTGCATGGTTCGGAGTGTTAGACTATAGGAAGACAAATAGAACAGAGAATAAGTGTAGGAGAAATGAGAATGCTCAGGTAGATGAGTGGAGTGACGAGAAAAAATAGAATAAGGAATGAGTACATACGAGGTAGCTTCGATATTATACAAAATTAGAAGAAATAGATTGAGGTTGTAGTTCGGGCATGTCATGGAGAGAGAAGAATATGAAGCAGTAAAAATTATAGTTATGAAAATAATCATAGAAGGAAAAAAAGGAAAAGCAAGACCGAAAAATAGGTGTTTTGATGCGATAGAGAATAAGGAAAGTCGATATATGTAAGGTGGGAAATCAGGTCAAATAGAAGTTTAGAACGAGGGTGACGGAGCCCAAATAGTTGTGATGAAAGCAAAGGAGAAAACGAGTATAGGATATTATACTTACTTATAGCTAGGTAGTACTGCGGTAGATTACTGTTGTAGAGAGTGTTGGATAAATAAGACACATAAGGTGATTTAATTTATACCTGTACATTAACCATTAATAACAAACAACAATTCTCAGCAAACTTTGCTTAAAAATGTTACAATAAACTTAAATTGAAAATTGTATTAATTTGTAACTGTCCGAGTATTATTTTGCCACAAATAAATTATAGTTTTGCATACTTATAATAAAATTTTATGTTTTTTAATAATAAACTGAATAATGTTTTTTTGCATATTTAACATTTTTTCATGCAGTTTTCATAAAAGGTGCTATATGTAAACATCGGAGCAAGTTTACTAGAAAAAACGTGTTCACAGACTAGAAAATTTCAGGCTCCCATACACGATCAAACAATTTGCGCAATCACTATGTTTGAGCAAACATTTTGATCATATATGGAACAGATTGAGTAGTTGTGCAACGGTTTGAAACCAAGCTTGCAGTTTTCGGTCGAGAACGAAATATTTTGTGCAACGCTCGGTGATTATTCTATCTTATTTGTGATTTACTTTCTTTCTCCGTTATCAGAGCTTTTTTATTTAAATATAACTTATGAATAATTCTTCTGTTTTTATTATCAATATTTATAGCTTTCAGAATACCCACTGAATAATTTTTCCCAGTTGATGTTGTCAAAAGCTTTTTCCAATTCAATGAATGCTATTTATATCGACTTGTTAACTTTACATTTTTTTCATGATCATCATCCTTGGGCACAGGAACCGCCTCCCTGGTTCCCCTATTCCCCCTGAAACCAAATTAATCTTCTTCTAGGTTTTTACTCCTATTCTATTGTGAATTATATTTGTTAATATTTTTGATGTATGTGTTATTAGACTTATGATTCTATAATCTTCATATGTTTCGAACTTCTTTTTTTTTCAGTACCTAATGGTATCATATATTATTTTAAACAATGTCTCTTTTCTTTGACCTTCATTGCTTATAACATTCCTTCACAAATGTTGTCTACAGGTACCTGTAGCTTTGTTATGTTTTACCTCTTTTAGTGTTATCTCAAATTCCTCTTTCAAAATGGATTGTTATATATTTTCCTATCCTGGATGTTCTTTTATGGATTATTGTCCTGCATATCTTTTATCATTTCCATATAGCTTTTCTACATAATGTGTCCATACTTCTAACTTTTTTTTCCTTCCGTGATTGTTGTATTAACTACTCCTTAGAGTATAGAAGCTTTATTTTTGTATTCGTAAAAAAATCGTTTAATAGTCTTGTACGTAAGGTTGCCATATATACCTGTGGATAAAACCTTACATACCTAGTATCCAAATTAGTTATAACTTGTATGTTTTATAACAATTTTTTTTATGATTCATAAATAATAATAATAATAAACATATTCTTTATATGATAAATTTATAATTTATAAAAAAATTAATACAATTTTTGTTGTATTGTTTCAGTTTATAAGATTATGTCTGTTTTTTTTTTTTTAATATATATAAATTATATAGCTATCTAATGTGATTCAATCAAATTTTTATTTACTATTTTTTCTGTTCGTCCCGGATTTGTTTTATGAAATTATGGCAACTCTACTTGTACGCTTTATTAATTAGGTCTTTTGTTTGACAAAAATCAATATCCTTGCATAAATTATTCAACCATTCCTCTTTGGCTTTCTTAGCCTCTGTATAGACCAAGTTTCTATATTTTTAATATTCTGACATTCTTCTTCTCTACTCGCATTTTTGTACTTTCTTCGTTTTTCAATGAGATCTATAATTTTGTTATTTATGCACGGTTTTGCTCTTACTACCTACTTACTTTCCAATTTTACGATTATCTTACCTATGGCACCGTACTATCAACTACCAACTATTGATAAGTGATAACAGTACCTGTTATTTTTTTTTCTAAGCACAATTTAAGATCATGAGATTTACTATCTTAAGTCGTGCTTCTGAGTCACTCGTCTACAAAAAATAGTAATTATTTTCTACCAATGAGTTATAATTTTTATTATCTAAGAATTATGTTTGATGCAGGATTTTTTTTTAAATTCACGTCACAACTTTGAAATATTTATTAATTTCTAATATTTCCGTTTAAACAATTGTTTTTAACATATCATTGTATTATAGGTACCTATATAAAACTTAAAATCATATAATTAAATAATTTAATCATCAATTAAAGTTTATCACATAAATTAACAAAGTTCGCTATGGATCAGAAAGTATTTGATGAAGCTGTAAACGAAACTATGGAATTATTGGATGTGAATTATTCAGAAGCGTTAAAAGACACTATTGCTCAGTTCCAACAGATGGTAAGTTTCAGTTAAGGCATACCTACTACCGGTTAAAAATAGAATACTATGAAATTTGTTTTAGGGAATGGATTTGTCCAAAATACAAATCAAACTTGAGTCAGCTACAGATCCACTACCATCAGCCTTATACCAATTAAAAACATTGTTTGACATTCCATCATGGGATGAAACGCAAAAAAAACAAATTATGAATAACCTATTAATTGTTGAAAACGAATGTAAAACAAAAGAGGGTCAGAAGCTTGCTAAATTAAGTGGTGCATATAATATTATATGCGGATTTTTAGAGAGACTCACTGAACTCAATGTTGATCAAAAGGCACAATTTATTAAGTCATTTGATTCTCTCCTTGGAGGTATAGTTACTGAAAACCAATACAGTTTGTTAATTACAAGTAATGTACCTATATTGTTTATACTGAAGCTAAAGGAATAGTAAACTTAAATTTGTCCTATTCAATTACTTAAATTAAAATACATTGACCTGCCACTATGAACCTTATTGTGTTTAATAATTTTATACTAGAGACTATTGGAAATCAAACTTGGATGGATGTTATTTTTAATGACTTATGTACAAATATAAATAAAATAAACTACTTAGGTGTTATATATTTCATTTTTATTATAAATTTAAATTTATAGAACTTACCTACTACTTTTATTGCCTGAATTATATTATACTGAATTAATATATATATAAAATTCATACTCAAAATATATTACTTAGATAGATTTAAATGTTTTTATATACCTACACATTATTACACAAGATTACAGCAATAATGATAATCTGTTTAAACCAATTCCATAAAACATTATATTATAATAACTTATTGTATTTTTGTATACACACTCTATTGCCCTTATTGGGTACAAATAATAATAATAATAATTTGTTAAATATGAAAATGATAGTATATGTATAGCATTTATTAAATAGTTATTGGTTGATTACTTTTAAATTTAGGTATATCATTTTTAATTTAATTATTCAAGTATTTTATAATTTATTTATTTCTTTTTAAGTATAAAAACATGTTACAGGTGGACAAGTTGTATATGGTAAAGCCTTAGACATAATGGTTGAATTATTAAAAAATACCCAAGAAGAAAATGTCTTACTAGCTCTGTTGTCGTGGTTCAGAACTATTAGTGAACTTGAAGATGAACGAGAGGTATAAACAAAAACTTAATGAACTATTTTGTAAAATGATAACTTTTTAGTAAGGACGAATTGTCATAAATTTGAATACACTCAAAATATATAAGAGTTGGTATTACTTAAGAAATAATAATAATAATATACTCATATTTAATAAATACATTAAATATTCAAAAGGATTTTCTCAATACATTAATTATGAATGTATCTCATTAAAATTTAATACATTTATAAATAAAAAAAATGTCTGATTTAAATGTATTGTTTTAGGAATTACGCATTATTGGTATAGGTGAGATTATGAAACAAATCTTAGAGTCTAATTCTTCAAAAGAGGCTGTAATTATTGGAACTTGTCAATTAATTAGAGCGCAACTTCGAGAGGACAATTGTAGTGGTGATTTTTCTAATGCTGGTGAACGGTCAAGACTTTTGGGTTGTGAACTATTAGAACCATTACTTAAATTGTTAAATGGTAAGTGATTAATATTTATTCTCCTAGCAATAATAAAATATCTGGTTTAGAAAATCCCACTTTATTATAAACACTGTTCAATATTTAAGTAAAATAAATGTATAAAATATTAATATGGTTGTTCGTGTCTGGAAAATAGTGTTAAAAATTAGGGGACTTGACCAAGGTTTAAACCTGAGTTCTGCTTGCTCTACCACTGAGTTACCTGGTACCTCATTTCTATCACTATTTCCACTATACTTAAGGATCTGACATCACAGGGTGGTTGGTGTAGTAACTGTGTTTACAGTTAAGGGGATGATGCAGTATTTGGAAGCCATGTTCATATAACAATGGTATCAAGTAGATCATTTTGCCCAATTGTGATAAAAATATTTGTTATTTATTACAGACAATCAAATAATAGAATTAGAAGAGGTGACTAGTGAAATATTCTTTACCTTGGCAACTATTATTGTTCGTTTTGAATTTTGTCGTAAATTTGATGAAAGTGGAGGTTTGTTGAGAGTTAAATTAGCCATGGAACGTCATTGTACTGTGGTATATTAATTTCTTATATCATACAATTTTTATTTTTATAAATAATTTATTATGTGAAATGCGATTTATTATTATAATTTATAATAGAGATTGAATTGCCTGGCATTTAAACTCCTTAAATCATTAGCCGGAGATGATATTGTAAAAGATGATATCAGAAAAGTTGGATTTTGTCCGTTCATATTAATGGCCTTACAAAGAAATATAGTAAGTTGATATTTATTTTAAACTTTTAAATCACTTCAACTACATAACTTGTTTTGATTTTATAAAGAACAATAAACAATTATGTATTGATGCAATGAAATTATTGACAGCATTGACACTGCGTTCTCCAAAAAATAGTGCCGAATTGACACAATTAGGTATTGCAGAACTTATTGTTCAAGCAATGAAAGTGCATTCAAACGATGCTAAACATCAGGTATTTAATAAAAATAGTGAATTTGAATATTTTTTAATAACACTGTACAGATATACGAGGGCTAATCAAAAAGTATCAAGACTGGTATTATCATTCGGAAAAGGAGCATCGAAGAGCAGTAAGGATTGGTATCACTTGCTTCTATGACTTTTTCTGAGTACATTTGTTATTATTGCTTCTCTATAAAATTCTTCGATTTGATTTCATTGATATTTTTGTAAAATATATTTTTCGAGTTTCCCGATTTTGTAATAAACCCAAAAGAAGAGTAACTTGACAGATTTGGAGATTTTAGAAAATTTGTCTGCATTTTTTTCCAGTTTCAGAGGGATGCAACATTTCGTGGTTTTGCCATTAAATGTCAATTGAAAAACTGAAAATGTGCCCTCGAGTGGCAGCGAGTTCCGCTTCATTTGGATTCATTACGAAATCGCCAAACGTGAAAAACAAATTTTAGAAAAATATCGTCAAATCAAAACGAAGAAGTTTATAGAGATTTTATACGAATAGATGTGCTCAGTATAAGCCATAGAAGCTAGGTTTACAAATCGTTTTGCTCTTCAACGCTCGGTTTCTGAGTAATATTATCAGTCTCGATACTTTTTGATTAGCCCTCGTATACTATACCTTCCTACTAAGAAGTTTATTCATATTTATTAAATTCTCCAATATTGGTAGTTATTTTTTTACCACTACATCAATTAAAAAAAGAAAAAATATCATTTGTTTTTTTTTATATATAACTTATTTATTTTGTAGAAACATGCTTGTACTGCTGTGCGGAATATAGTATCAAGAAATCGAGATTTAGCTTCGGAATTTCTAGCACTCAATGTAGAAATAATAATTGAAAAAATAATTAGTCAATATAAAAATTGTGAATTTGAAGCTAAAAGTGCATTACGTGACCTTGGTTTAGATGTTCATTTCAAAGAACAGTGGACTGGTACCGGACAGAATTTAACTTCATAAATATTTCAAACTCAATGATCTTCAATTTTTCAGAATAATTCCGATAATTAATTTAATATGTTTTTAATTTTTTTTTTATATAGCAATCAAAATATTATAACCTCGCACTAATATTTATTATTATTGTTTATTAAATAACTGTTATACTAAATATTTACTTCTTATTTATACATTAACATAATTAGTTTAATCACTAAAAATAAACTTGTCTACTATTTATAAGTACTGATTCTTAATTAGAGTATTATTTCACACAAAAATATGTATGAAATAGATTCATCCAAAAAACTACAATAAATTATACATCACAAAGAAGTTCACATTGAATATATAGTGTCTATTGTATAAGGCTTGTTAATTTAAAACAGCTTTTAAGAATAGTTTTATTGGATATTTAAATATTCACAAGTATAATGTAAAATTGCCAATAAATTAAAATTTGCAATCATAATATTTTAGATGAAATATGAGTACTGAGTAGCTACACTTGATGCATGATTTCTGATAGACATTTTGTACATGGTATAAAAACATAGAAAAGTAAAAATTGTTGTAAAACCAATACATTCTTCGCTCCAAATCTTAAAATATAAATTTCTGGTTTACTTTAGTTGCACACACACAAAAATAATACCAACAAATAATTTTATGGTTATCTCAGGTAACCTATATAAATTTTATTAATCTGATTATTACAGACAACATTGTAATAGTGTTCTGATATTATTTTATACATTTTAAAATTTAACAGACAATAAAAATGTATGTTTCTTTATATTAACAAAAATTATCAAAAATGCTATATTAAATATGTTCAAAAGAATACTTGGCAAAATAATAATTTTTGTATAATTTAAATATAATAATAAAATTAAAAATACTAACTAAAATAAAACATTGTTCAATTATGTATAAATACAAAAATGTTAAATCTAAACTTCAACATATAATTAAAAAAAATATATATATTAATAAATAAATAAATTTTAAATGGTAAATTTTTCAATAATAATTATTAAACACTAATTTTATAATTAACATTTATAGATACACCAGTCTTGTTATAATACTATGTACTTCAATGTTTCCAACACCACAATATGTTTTGTTTTTTATTGCACACTAAGATTTAAAAATTTGGGTGTTTTACTAATCTTTTTTGTACCAGATGACTCCCAAATTGTCACTGTTCCGTCTTCTGTAGATATATATAAATGTTGAGAATCACTCGAATAAATAATACTGCAAGAAACAACAACTAAACAATTAAATATCCATCTGTAGTAACTAGGTTTATTTATCAACTTACGCTATAACTGCTCCATCAAAATGAATTATTGGTATTTCACTAACAAATGATAAGTCCCATGTACTCCATAATCTATTAAACAGTAAATCCGCAATTTATGTATAAGGCACATCAATAAAATCAAAATAGTTAAATTATAATTACTTCACACTTCCATCTTCTAATCCTGTTGCAATAGAATTTACAGAAATTCCTTCTGGAGCATTGGAAAAGCAAACGGCTGTGATTTTTTTATCACTTTCTATGCTGCCAATATATGAAGCGTTTATAGTTTGAAGTGTCATGATTGATTTACCATTGTCACTATTATACGCAATTGTCACAATATCACCAAGAGTTTCATTGATTGACACTAAATTTATCTATATTAGAAACAATAAAAAGTAGTATTAACTAAAAATATTGAATACAGTTAAATTTCATTTAGCAATTACCGGCAATGACATAGACTTTAATGATCTCACATATGTAGTATCATTTAAATCCCAAATAATTGAGAATCCTTGGTCATCACAACTGACAGCAATATGGAATGCTGAACTTAATGCTATGCTAGATATTTTAGCTCGATGACCAACAAGAACGGTTGGTTCTTGGAATATCTCTACAGTACCAACTATGACATCAAAATAAAATCTGAAAAAAAAACAATTATATATATTTAATTAGTTGATTGACAATTGTTTAATCAAGTTAATTCAACAGTTTTTTGATGATTTATATAATTACAATTTTTAAATAACAATAAAAAAATAATAAATTTATGCTCATAATATATGATTAGATATAATTTTAAAACATTGGTACTTGATAACTTGATTCATTTTATTTATTGGTTTTATTATTTAATTATGAATTAAGTGCACATTTTTTTTTTTTACTACATTTTTTGTAAGATTTATTGTACTACAAATAATATAGAAGTTAAAGTTTACATATGAAAAAAGAATATTTGTAGAACCTCTTAGAAAAATAATATGTTATAACCCAACAGTCACACTTATAACAGGTAAAGCTGTTATTACTGATATTATTCAAAATGTTAGTAAAATAATATCTGATGGTACTTTTTTATAGTGTAGAATGACACCTGGCCAATTATCACTTTTGTCAATGAAGAGACATTTGTTTGGAATTCACTCCAACCGGAGAGGTTCCTGATGATAGTATTTGAATAGATACACTTTTACAATTTATATAATAATGAATTAACTCAAATATTTAATTACTTGTACACGTGTATAATTCCAGATTCAAAACCAATCCAAATATATGGACAATGTGGCGCAGTAGCTATAATGCAGACATTTTCAGTTGGAAAAAATTTGAATGCTGGTTTTGAAGGGGCTTCTTTGCGCTGTTTAATTCGAACTACGCTGTCATATTCACTCCAAGAAAGTATTGCTGCTGCCATAACAGTAACACCTTCATTCAATAACGTTAAACACTTTTCCTAAGATATTAAAATTAAAAAAAACTGTAAGGAATCTAGTTTAATAAATAAGATTTTTTTGAACAGTTCATTAATTTGTGTAAATGTCTATGTAATGTAATATATTACTTTTGAATATGTTAAGAGCAGAGCAGAATTTTTTGATATACCAAACACATCATTGGTAAGTAATGGTACAAAGTTTGATACCAAAGTCTTGTGTTTTCTTTGCCAAATATACATAGGTACATTTTCTTCGGGCGATCCAACATAACTTCCCCACTTCAAATTTTTTAAACCTGTTTACATTCATACATTATAAATTACAATATTATTAAGTCAAAAATGAATAAAAAAATACATACCTGTTATAACATTTCGACAATTTGTATTATTTATCCCATTTTTTGGAGAATAATCATCAACAGTCATTGGGTGTGGAAAACGAAATAGTTGCCGTGGAGTTTGTCCATATGTGTTGACCATAGTTTTGAACGCAGACCTTGCCACTGGGTCTTCAGTCTTTTCTATATGTGATCCATAGTAAGTAGCTGGATGAAACACATTAATTGCATCAACTGCTGCTTTACCAGTTTGTTTGTAACCAAATATTAAATCTATCCAATGTGGTAAGTTTTCACTAACTATTTCAGATTCTAGAATTTGCCTTGAAATTAAAATAATACAATAAAATAAACATGTTTTTTAGTTTATTATATAAGTATGCATTTTAAATTACCGTAGTATAAGTACAAACAATCTTGGATTGTTTTGTGCCCAAGGAGGTAACTTAACGTCATCAACCACTTCTCCAGATTGTTTAATTCCAAAATTAAATTGTTCAAAGTTTATAAACATTTCAGGTAAATAGTAAAACTCTGGTATGAGTTCTTTTAAATCAGTAGTTGACTCATCAGATGATAGACGCCAAGTAATTTCCATTGAATGAAATGATCGATCTGGTACATCAAAATTGTTATCCTGTAATGAAATAGATTTAAATATCAATACATTTCTATAATAAATTAAAATAAGCCAAGTTCATAATAACAATGTATTACTTGATATTTGATAAACATTTGGGTGTATGGTGGAACTCTGATCAAGAAATGCAAAATTGTACCAGAATTACTATAATGAGAACTGTAATGATGTGGGTCAGTTCCAAGACGCTGGACTTCTTCTTTCAAATACTAAAATAATTAATTTAATTTAATTTAACATTACAAGATGAATTCAAAAATATAATTAGTGTAATTATTAATTACATTATAATGTTGAATATAATGAGCTTCTTTCTTTTTATTTTGGATTGCCATAGGTCGTCTCAAATTCCTAGTTAAAAACGGTTAAATAGCTTTTTGTTAAATGTTATTATTCATTTTTAATGTTAACAACACCCTAAACACATATTTTAAATCACCTGTAGTTAGAAATTTGATTCAAATCTAATTCAGCAGTATTATAGCTGGCTAATACAAATGGCATAACAGGATATTGCATTAAATCGTTATATGAACGTGCAGCCATTTTATTCAGAATCGATAAATATTCCATGTTAGTGATTTGGCGTGTTCTCCATAAATCAACAGTTTCACTTAGTATCTCATTAGTAACACGATTTGGTAATGGAAAATTTAGTATATAGCTTCCAAAATCATCTCTTTCCTGATCAAGATTTTCAATTTAATAATGAGAAAAATATTATTAAAAAAACAATTACGAAATTTACCTTCTGGGAATGAAAAGCAATTAAAAATGTTTTTCCATTAGTAAGAAATATTTCTACAGCCTTTTCCTTCAGTGAATATCTACGATTATGTATTTCTTGAATTTCTTCAAATTTAAGGACATGTGAATAATCATTTTGTAAAGCCTATACATACAAATAAAAATAAAATATTTACAGATTTTAATTTAAACATATTTTACATTTTGTACATTATCAGTTGGAACAATGAAAATGGCATTTTCACTAATTAAAACTTCACATTTGATTTTATGCCATGGATGCACTAATTTTGCAGTACACATATATGATATTTTTTCTTGTGATAGTAAGCATTCAACAACAGCAGAGGAAACAGGAACTTCCAAATCATTAGATATTAAGTATTCTAAAGGTCCCATAATTTTGTTCCTTTCTATAAACAAAAAAATATGAAACTAATTAAAATTGAATAACAAATATAAATACAACTCTACCAGTGCATAGCGTGTGTTCTGGTTTAAAGAACCGTTTTGACATATTTAGGTGGCACCTTTGTAGACGAATTCGAACTCTATTAGGTCCTTCTGTTGGATTCAATTCCCATGATCTAAAAATATGATGTAATGAACATAAACTTTAGAAAAATTATATCATTGTTATTGTTTACGAGATATACTGTTTACGTTGGATATGACTCTGGAAAGTACCATGGGGCCATTTCATGAGACATTTGGTTAATAATAGATTTCCATCGTATTGTAGCTTGAATGATATTTCTAAAATTTTCTTTAGTTGTTTCTAGTACTTGTTTTCGTTGTGAATTTTGTTCTTCCGACAGAGTTGCTGTAATTGTCATAGCTGAGTTACAAATCAACTTTATAGTGCTGTCCAACTTACAAGAACTTCTAAAAAAATTTTAATACATTAGATAAATTTAATAATTCCAATATCACAATCAAATTTAAAAAAAACAATTATAAGTAGTTTCCCAAAAAATTAATAAGACTAACCAAACTTTGTATAGAGAACACACACTACAAAGTGATAGTGAATCTTAGTCTACCATCTTAAAAGAGGACACAGGATTGAAGCAAGGAGATGCAATGTCCCTAATCCTATTTAAACTAGCGCTAGAAAAAATTGTGAGAGAGATGCAGTGGGTAAAAAGCAGTCAAATAGCAAATAACGACAATAGCCTACGATTACTTGGATTCACAGACAGCCTGAATATCATAAGGTTTTAGACATTATTAGATATAGCAAACGCGTCAAAAGCTTTAGAAAAGACGGCCGAAAAAGTCACCTTAACAATAAACCTAACCTAAGCAAGATAGAATTAATGAAGCTAATAGATAGTGATGTAGACCCACAGCAAATAGAAGGGCTAACTTTAGAAAAAGTGAAGGAATTTAAATACCCAGGAGCAACATTGAGCATCAAATATGATTGGTCTAAAGAAATAAATATTTGCAAAAATAAAGCGGAAAAAACAAGGTTTGCTAAAAATAAACTTGATAACATTATTTATAAAAATAGACAAAATTATTAATTTATAACAAAAATTTTAAATTGTTTTGAAAAATTCAATTAAAACTATATTGTTATTAATTTGTATTAGTGTTAATTTTTTCTAACAATAAACACAGCTTTTTAATTCTATACATAGTATTACCTATTATAAATACTTGAACACCTTATAAATTTTCTTTTTTGCTTTAAATTAATTAACAGATATCAATAATTATCAAAATTATTGATCATTTTGATAATTTAACAAACTATCGTTTAATTACTGATCTCTGGGAAAACCTTTTATACACTAATGTTTCTTAACTACAAAATAAAATGCTATAGAGAAAATCCAAAACAAGTTTATATGTATCAATTAAAATACCAACGTTGGTATGAGGATGTGAAGTCTGGATGGTAACGACAGCCTCAGAGAGAAGGATAAGAACATTTGAAAAAAAGGTAAAATGAAAATCTGCGGTCCTATGTTTATCAGGAATATAGAAATTTTGTGAAGAAAATACAATAGGGTATTGCAGGAATTAATGGCCTTGGTTCCAGTAACTAACTTCATTAAAGGTCAAAGAATCCAATGGCTAGACCATATCCAAAGAAGTGAAGAAATGCTTTCGAATGGAAACCTCAAGTAAAATGACCACAGAAACACCCAAGAAAGAAGTGGTTTTTTGGTGTAATAGACAGTTTAAACGCATTAAATAAGTGTAGATTGCCATGAAATTATGCAAGACAAAGGAAAATAATGGAATATTGTAGTGACCAATAAAATTATTAGAGAGCAGCAAATAATTAATACATTGAACATTTATATGTTGATAATAATTTTTTTTTATATTAAATAATCAATTTTAAAGTTACTAAATGTTAATTATATAAGTATAAAGCAGGAATACTTATTGTTTTTTAATGAAAGTAAGAGATATGAGTAAAAATGTAGTAAAGGTGTTTAAAAATGAAATATAAACATACTTTATAATATTATCATTTTGACTCATAACAATTCCATTTAATTCAATATTCATTTGTTCTAAAACATGGAATATTTGAGTATTCCATTCATTCTCAAAAAAAAATCCATTACTCTCAGGAGTTAATAACTCTAATTCAATTAAGTGTTCTCTCAATGCTTCACATGTGTACATTTCTTCTTCAGTAAGTGGTATTATTAATTTATCATTCATCAATGAATATAAATAAATATAAAACCTTTGTTCAATCTAAAATAATCAAATAAAATAACATTTTAGTATTAAACAAAAACTCACGAAACAAAGAAACACCAATGTAATAATTAATACTGACAAATAAGTATATTAAACATTACAAATATTGACAAATTTAATTTATTTCTTAGTACTGTAATAAATAAATATTAATTTCAGAACACATGTAGACATACCTGTGGATTGATGTAAATTAAGTTTTTAAATAGTTCTTTTGATCTTGGTTCATTTAATAATGATTTTACTGCAAACATACGTATTCTAGTAGTTTGACGTGGACTCAAAAGCCATACTAACAAATTAGCCCCTTGTATCCTACATAAAGAAAAAAAATTGTTATTTTCTTTTCTTAATTATATATTGGAAATTTAATTTTCATTTCAACAGTTAAATGAATAATCTATAAACATATTTAAAAACCTTAAAAAAAAAATGTTTTTAGACCACTATAGACAACTCGGAAATCTTTCGATAGCTCTAAATTGAATTTTAGAAAATTTTCCTATTTTCCTCATAATTTAAATTTAACCTCATAACCTAGTTAAGAAACGCTTGGTTTAAAATGATATTATAATAATTATTGTAATTTACCTTATAATATCACGAGCAGCTCCATAAATAGATACCCAAGGATGTCTTCTCTGTTCTCTTGTGGTGTTTTGAATAATACTAGTAAGATTATACAAAAGAATTGTAAACAAATGGCATGCAAAAGCAACTTCTGGAGTAACTTCATCAATAATTTCTTCATCTATAAAATATTAATTTTAAATAAAAATTAAAAAAAAAAACTATTAGTATTTACGGTGTAAATAAAATTTGTTAACTCTAGTCACCAATTTTCCTAACAATCACTAACAACACATTTAAGTAAAGTTCTTTTTTTACAGTATTGACATAACATTTAATTTCTTTTTATGTATCAGGAAATTTTGTCAAGTATTTTTCCTCCCAGAAAAAATTTAAACATACTGTAAATAATTGAAAAACATACTTACCTAATGCAAAAATAAATTCCACAGATCTTATGATTATATGCTTATATCTTTCAATTAATTCAGTTTTAGATAAAGGTTTTTGACGGTTAAAACCGGATACAACACTGAATATGCTTGATTCACTATTTGACATGTAAGTTTCATTATTTGTGTCTTTTATGTGGTTTAATGATAAGACTAAAACAAAACAAAATGTGTAAAAAATCAAGTTTTAGTTGTTATTATTATTATTATAATAATTTTATTTAATACCAGAACTCAAGTTATTTTTTAATCGTGATAAAGCTGGAACCAAAGGTGGATGAGTCTGTATAAGATCTTGTATAGTATCCATTCCAGATTCCAAAATTAAACGCTGTGTTTCTCTTATAGTTAAGTTAGACCTATAGCCTTCTTTTATTTCATTTTCTGCTTTTTGTAAAAAACGACATTGATAAACAAAATCATTTAAAATCTAAAAAAAAAAAAAAAAATTTGTATTGTATATGATAATAAAACTAAATTTAAAAACAAACTTGAATATTTTGAACACCAGGCGTGTGTATAGCTTGAGAAACCAACGTTATAATTAATGAATTTATATCATCAATGAGTATATCTTGCTTATTTAAATCCGTATTTGTTGAGGAACTTGGATAAATACTTGCTATTATTGATAATGTTTTTAATAAACATTCTATCAAACCAAACTCTAAAATATTATTCAAGCATTGTGGAACCTGAAATATTAATGGTGCCATTACTTTAAATGTTAAATATCTAATGTTACTTATGTATACTTACTTTGGTTATGAGTTTGAGGAAGAAGTTAATTATATTCATACTCAAAGTTAAATTAAATGTAGATTTTGGTAAGATCGAAAGTAATAGTGGAAGGGCTGAAAAATTGAATGAGTTCATTTCGACAGATTGGTCCCACTGCAATTGTTGATCCAAAGGAAGCCAATAACTTCCAGTGAAAATTGAAGCACAAGTATCTACTAAATTCACAGTAGTTTGATGTAATGACAATACATTGGCTATTTGATAAAACCCTTTGAATTTGTGAACAAATTTTTTAGCATATGATGGGCTACAACGTTGCAAAAACACACTTATTATCTGGAACAAAATAATTTATTTAAAATACATAAGAAACAAATTCAAACAAATATCACTTTTACTTTTAAGATAATGATTCTTATTGAAGAACTGGGATTATTAAGTAAAACAACTAGCTTTTCAGCTTCAAACATTTTATCTATAACATGTCCAGGTACACAGTTTGAAATATTGATTAAAACATTCCTTAATATAGAAAATAAACCTTCAATAATTTCATTGTTACTGTCAGAATCAGTTAATTTAAATTGTTTATTTCCATTTATCTAGAATAAATGAATATATTTAATTTTAATGTTAAAATTCTTAACAATATTAATATATCAGTGAATTACTTGAGCTCCGAAATATACTTCGGCTTCACAAGCATCACCATAGTCACAAGACATTTTTCTGTCGTTTGTGATAATGGCTACTGTAACATCTTTTATACTTCCATCTATACCGGAATCTTGACCAGTTTCTTCTGGAATAATATGTTCACTGCTATCTGATGTAGCTTCACTTGCTCTTGATGAATATAATTTGGTGTTATTATTCTTTATTAATTCCTAGTATTTTTTTTCCATTTTGTTAATATTAAAACAATTGATGAAAAAATTATGAATATAAATTTCTGGTCAATAAACCAGATAACTCCATACAATTTAGGATAAATATTAGTTCTTATCTCAAAGTAATTATGAAAATTAAATCAAATACTACAGAATCATTTTTATCCTGGTCTAATGTATTTAAATTGGTTTTAAAATTAATTTTATCATAAATAAAATATTTTTAAAACGGTTTTTTTTTATCTCCTAAAAAGTTATGAAAAATAGAGTTTATCTCGTTATTGCACTGACCCTTTAATGTATAAACTTTTAAATTTGTCTACCTGGAGTTTAAGTAGTTCTGTATTTAATCGCTGAGTATCTATAGGACCACAAAAATCTGTTTCTGAGTATTCATTTACATTTATATTTTCATCAGATTTCTGGGATTCTAATAATAATAAAAATCATATTAGTTATTTAAATTATACACAATTTAAATGTATATCATTATAGAATAAATTAAATATACCTGATAATATATTAATTTTAAAATCAGGTGAAGCATAAATTCTTGATTGGGATGATAAAAAAAAATACACAGAGGTTTTTAGATGAGGCAAATATAGATTTGTTGTCGGGTGCACAGCAATTAAAAAGTCTAATATCAAAGAAATATAATTCTTATTCATCCGCAAATCAAAAATACTTTGAACAAAATCCACTAAATCTTTTTGTACACAACCCAATAACGCAGTTTCATTTGAATCTTCTAATAATAGTTGACACTATATTATATATAAATAAATATTATGGTTTTAGTAAATATATTTAATAATAATACTTTAAAATTTAAATAAAAATTACCTTAATTTGCAACAAAATTAATTCTAATAATTCAGATGATTGAATTTGCTTTAAATTAAATAATCTGTGTGGATGATTTGATGACAAAAGATGTTTGCAAAATTTAAAAAAAAATTGTATAATTTGTTGATTTTTAGCAGTCCATATTTTCCAACAGGGCAAAATTACTTCTTTAATAAAACTTGTATTTAATAGAACTCCATCATAGAACATATTAACAGTCCATTCTTCATTATCATAAATTAAGGCTCCTTTTTTATTACAACCTGCTTCCAAAAGGACCTTTACATAAAAAAATAAAATAAATAACAAACAAATAAAAATGATTTAGTATTTAATATAGATATAAATCTACTAACCACTAACACTGAACAATTGGGTTGAATTTGTGAAGAAGTCAAAGCTTTAGTTATGAGTTTATAACCATCAAGTGTAATAAATTCTGAATACAGTTTAGAATCTGATTGTACAAAATGCAATAGAATTTTTAATGCTTTTACTTGATCATTAGGAGATGAATTAAACTCAATAACCTGTTCACATTACACAGTACATTATGGTAAATTTATTTATTTTTAAAGAACTATGTAAAGTTTATTTATTTAATTACCCTTGCAAATAAAAATAATATTAATGGCAAACCACCCATTTTATTGATTACAGTCAACAATCCTAGAGGTTCAGTAACTTTAATATGACTAACAATAACTGTAGGTATCACCTGAGGTGGGCTTTGGCAAGCACGTAAATCATATGTAGACATTTTGAACATTAATGGTTGAGTTGGAGGAAATAAAGAATCTAAAAAATAAATAAAATTATGTTAATATTATGTACAAATATTACTATGTATTAATAAAATGATTCATTATTTATTGACTGTTAGTCATTAAAAAAATTTGGTTTTAAGAAAAAATCCATGTCACTCAAATGAAAAAAAAAAAAACAAAAATTGTTCATCTCATTTACTTATTGTGCTAAATTATATATAGATTGTAAATATTCAATAAAAAAATAGTTTTAAGAAAATTATTCCAAAAGTAAAATAACTAATCTATAATAAATAAAATTTTTTTTTTTAAAAAAATTTCCAGAATATGTGAAAAATTATTAAATATAGTATGGGGTTAATTAAGTATAGACATTTAAAAGGTTGATTTTTGTCACATAAACATGTACAGTGGACCAAAACCATATTTTCTTTTTCGTGGGCACATCTTTTTATTATATTTGTAAAGGTGGAAAAATCATTGATTTTACATCAATAATATATATTTACTTAATAGTAATACTAAATAATAAATAATATGTTGTTCAGTCCTGTGGCGTAATTAATAGGGGGGTGGGTGTTGTATTCTCTCAATATTAGTATTTTTTTCTTCTCATAGTAGATGGTAACAATTATTTTAAGTAGAACATAATTACCTACTTAGTTGACTAATTTGATATATTTTCATCAGTTTAAATCTGAAATAAACTGTAAAAGTAAAATACGAAAACATTTTTTTTTAACAATAACAATTATACAAAAAATAATTTTAAATAATAAGGTTAAATCATAGTTTGTTTGTACCTGGTACCTTAAAACATAAATATTTAAATTTTATTTTTTAATCCTTTTTCAAGACCAAACCCCAATTACGCCACTAGTAAAATTAAATACTATAAACAGTTAACTTCATCAATTGCTTATTGTGAAATTTTAATTTGAAATAAAAAATATATTCATTACTTGTAGGATTTGGTAAAGTCAAAGAATATAAACAAATAGTTCCTGGTTGTCTTGGAGTGAAACTTAACAATATGACATCCTAAACACAAAATCAATATTATTTAATAAACTTGCTTAGAATAAATGATTTTTTCTTAATTACTTGTAGAGGTTTAATAGTTTCAAAACATTGATTTAATAATTGATTCCAATCTAAATTACAATTCAATGATGTATTCAAATTAAACACTAAATCATTAAACAACATGCTAAAATTTGGTTTTAAAGGATTATTAGAACAATCTGCTAAATTTTCTAAATCAGGTCCAAATGCTGCAAGAGTACTGGCACACTCTTTTGTCAGAACTGGTAATCTGAACATTAAAATGTTTCCAATAGAAATCGGTGAAGTATTATCTCTAGTATCACCTAAGAGAACATTGGATGGTCGAGGTTTTTTAATAAGAAATCCATCAAATAAAAGATTGGCTTTACTTTCACATAGTCCATCTATTATTAAAGTTATCTAAATAAAATAAAATAATTTTAAAATGATGTAATTTTAATATTTAATTAAGAATAATTTACTTCAATAAATTTTTCTCGTTTTTGAATACCATTCACATTAATGGCAACATGATGCCAGGCAATTGAACTTAAACAGTTATTAAAAATGACTTCAGAAAGTAAGTCAAATTTATTTTCATTTGGTCTTGTAAGTCTAATAATAAACCCATCACTAAAAGGATCTAGCCAAAATTCAATAAGCATTGCATCATATCCAACAGAAAATATATGAGTTAAATCATCTAAACTATGGGTTTCTTTATGCAAACTCTGACCTAGAAAGAATAGAAATATTTTGTTTATTATTGTTTTTTACAATAAATATAAAATTATGCTTTACTTTTTCCTATAGATTCTGTAGAACTGTTTCTCTTCATGTATGAATATTTATGTACATGGTCCAGGCGTAACCACATTGATATTGAAAAGCCTGTTGACAATATGGACCATCCAAGATCTGTATTTATAGGTAAACTTAGCGCAAATATAGACCATGGTGTTAATAGTCCTAAAAAATTAATTAAAACAATTTATAATTATCACTATTAAAATTAAAATGATTATATTTATTTTTCATACTCATTTCTTTATGGTTTTCTCTGGTTAAAATTGCCAATGCTTCGGCAGGTCTATCACTAATTGGTAAATCTGGCATTACTTTTGCAGGAAATTGGATACTGTAATTTGATCGCCATACAATGGGTATATGATCAGTCAAGTATATTAATGGTAGAAGTAATAAATTCTAAAAACAAAAATAAAAATTTGAAAGCCATAAAAATTAATATTGCATATTATTAAATAGTTTCTTACAAGAGGTGGGTTTTTTGTTTTAAATAAATTCAAATAAATTTCAAATTCATATGTTTCTATATAATGACAAGCCATCAAAGCAATAAGTTCCATCATATAAATATAAATTGTGTCATCTGTATTAGAATAATAAATGTTGATTATGCAATTAGAATCTAAATATTAATAACGAATATACTCACATAATTCAGTTCTTTCTATATTATCTATGTGTTCTTTAATACAATTTAATAATTTAGATATCAGTCCTTCTTTAGCAAGCTTTATACAACTGTCATCGTTGTCTTTGCAAATAACAATAAGTCTTTGTAAACAATAAATTATTCCATCCAAGTTATTTATGTTTCTACATTTTTGTGTAAAAAAGAAATATTAATAGGTTATACATATTTAATTACTAAAATATAAAATAATTAAAATTAAAATTATAAAATACCTCGCAAATGTCATTAAGTCTACAGCTAAAGTGCACAATGCTGGATGCATGATATTCAATTTTTTTGTATCATTGTAAATATTTTTATGAGTAATGCTCTCATCGGCAGTTCTAAAAATAATACATTTATGAACTATAATAATATATTTATTAGTAGTGTTTAAGTATTTTACACTAATTAAATACTTGAAATCAAAATTATTCTCTAGAAAAATAAAAGTATGATACACGTATAATAAATGACTATTATAAGACCAACTTATGGATGTAAATAAATGCAGTAAATGACGTAAAAGAAAAACAGCAGAAATAAGAGAAATTATCAAAGTACCTTATAAAACAAGCTACATGAAGTCAGACAGTTTAGTAATTTGGATACACAATGAGAAGAGAAGAACCAAATGAAACTAGGATCTCAATCGATAATTAACCAATATAAAGAAGACCCAGAAGTAAACCAAAGAAAGTATCGATGGGTGGAATGTATCAAGATCTGGAGAGATTGGGTTGGAGGAAGAGGATCCAGGATTGCGATTACTGGAGGTCGGTGACAGTGGCAGTCAAAACACGTAGAGTTGTAAAGTCTACATGATGATGATTTAAGTATATATTTTGTCTATTTAACAAAAAATCTATTGCTTAATAAAACAATAAAATGTTTTTACAATTCATACCTGTCAGACGAATCAAGATTTATCCAACTCTGAAACTCAATATCTGCTTCATAACCTTCATCCCCTGAGATAAAATCATCATCATCATCAAATGGTAACCATTCAGTTTTGCCAGGCGTTTCTATCTCCAATAACTAAATATAATGAATACAACAAATAAATTAAATTCTTTTAAATAAGTAATTACAATTTAAAAATGAATATATACCTTAGTTAATGACTGAGTTGTTGCAATATAATTTACATTTTGTCTATTTAATGATACTGTGGCACACTTTATTAAAGAACTACAAACTTGCTTTATCCCTATATGCCCTTTACACAGAGCCTCAATTAACAAATCTTTTACATGAGTATCCAATGTAACTAGAAATTTAAATAATAATTGCAAAAATTAAAAAAATAATATTTTTATCAAAATATTTATCCTTTTTATTTACTTTTATTTTCAAAAATTGATAGATTCAAAACAAGTAAACACTCTATGAGTTTTAGGTTTACAACATTTTTGTCTTCAAGTGTTACTTTATTTATACCTAAAAATAATAATAAATAATTAATTAAAAATAACAAATGTTCAAGCGATATTTTAATAATGACAGAATCAAAAAAATAAACTGACCTTTTACACTAATTGGCCTTGTTAATAGTAATGAGACAATAGACAAAAGAGTATCATATTGGAAAACAACAGATGAAACTTGTAAATAACTTCTAATTCTAGGGCACGTCAATGAAAGCCTAGCTAAACATTGAAATAAATCACCTAATCTAGTTATGATGCTGTTGTAGTCATGATACTTATTTATAGATTCAAATGTCATTTCTTCTCTTAAAAAATCTGATAACTCTGATAAACGGTATTTTAATTTTAGATTAATATTCATTGACTGTGGTTTCATTACATAGCCACAAAATAATTCAACCAAATTAAATACTGCAGTCACAATAATATTCAAATCTTCGGCTTGACTATCAGTGATTAAAATTGGAGTTGATTTAATTTGATTCAAAGTCCACATTTTTGAAATTATTTTTGTTTCCAAAACATTGCATGATAGTTTAGTAAAAATAGGATCAGTTATTAAATCTTTTAAGTATTTAACTCCACTCATTGAATCAAACTCTGATGTAAAATCTAGAGAAGATAATAATATGTTAAATATGTTTAGTGAAACATTGACTAAAAAACGATCAGAATCATTTTTATTTTCTCTATATGATTTTTCACTGGATTTAAATACGGGATAAAATATTCGAAATAATAATACATGCTGAATATCTTTTATAAAGACCGAGGCGTTCTTTGACAAATGCAATCCAATTGCATATGACAATTTAGGACTAGAACCAGTCAAAAGTTTCCTAAATAACTCAAAAGTAATCCATTTTTGTTCTTTCCTTTTTTTATTTTTTTCATATGAATATAATTGTGAAGTGCTATCATCGTCACAACAAACCTTACAAGAACTATCTCTGTATGCAACACCAATATCCCGATATAATGTTTTTTCCATCAGTTGTAATATCATATAACTTTTTCTATAATCATGGTCACCAACCATTTTCAATAGTTTTGGTATAATTAAAGCAAGTGGCACACAACAACATGTTCCTGTTACACCGATTGTCTTTACTAAATAAAACCATAGTTCTTTATCTTGACTGTCCAAGTTAATCATAAGACGAATAAGAATCATTGACAATGAAGTAACACAACAATTTTGACTAGTGTCTTGAGATGAAACTATACTACTTACATACACTTCCCCGAAGAGATTGTCATGATGGTGTAACAGAGGTTTAGTACAATGACGATGTCTGATTTTATTACAATGCTGTAAATGTACAATGCGTTGTCTAATTTTCTTCATATTTAATAATAATAATCCAAGTAGATTTATAACTATTTTTACGTGGAAAGTGGAAAGTTCTGCATCTTGATCCCGTATACTAAGAATTACCGAAATGCATTTTTCTATAAGCTTGCCACGTTGACAGTCAAGCATTAGTCGAACTTGTTTTAAAAAATGGAAATGGTTATTATATGAATGACATTCAAATAACATCAGTGAAAACAACATTAAGAGTGCACAAACAATACCAAAAAGGATTTTTTGGCGACAGGGGTATTCTTTGATTTCATTTATTCTTGATTTGTTCACAAGGCTTTCCAATATTTGTAACAATAATGGTACAATACCTTCTTGAGTAATTGTTTCACTAATATTTGGATATTGATATAATTGTTTTACAGCCAATACCATGTTATATAACATTTTTGATTGTATAATATCATTATCAATATTACTGATGTTAAACTGCGATAGACAAATATAATCTAATGAAAATTTCATAACTATACACGGTACAAATTGATTACTGCTCTTCAAATTATATTTTAAAGAATTCTGAGTACTAAATGATAAAATTTGTGTTAATAAATCTAATACTAATAATTTAATTTGATTTGGAAATGCTGTGTGGCTGGTAATAGACTTAATATGTTCATCATAAAAGTACCCAGGATACACATTTTTTTTTTTCGTCAAATGTATTTCTTCATCATCAGACTCATTTTGTTCATCTTCACTACGCACAATATTAGTAAAATAATCAAAGTCCATTGGGTTAAATCGAACACGTAATGTAGTAGATGCCTTAAGCAAATCGATTACAGGTTGAGACTCAGATTCACTAGATTCCTCCGCCATTTTTTGTTTATCACTTTCAAAAGAATGAGTTTTAACCCTATGAAAAGAACAATTTTTTAAGTCAAATTGAATATATTAAAAATAAAAATTGATATATTTTGGTTTTTTTTTTTTCAAATATTGAAATAATATAAATATTGAATAACATACCTATTTGCTGATACAGAACTTATTCGACGAGATCTAGGTATACTTGGACTTGATCTGTCATAAATTGAATTGAGTTGATGTTTTGATTTTGATGTCATCCCTTCGAATTTTGTTAACTTTATTAAGTCATCTAGTTTCAAATTAGTTTCGTCTGCTGGAAAAATATATGGATTAATAATTTTGGTATTATTACTTAATTTATTATCAGCATCATCATTAAATATTGAAAAAATGGACACTAGAACATTAGCCATTTCCTTTAGTCGTTGAACTTCCTGAAAAATGCCCAAAAATAATCAAATTATAATAAAAGAATAATTTTTAATAAATAATTTCAAAACTCTACTTGAGTGCCGAGTAAATGTAAAACAGTTAGACATCTCCAACCTCTTTCATTTAAAATATATTTTTTCAATGTAGTGAAATCTTCTTCACCCGATACAGAACATACATGATCAATATCCAAAAGTAATTGATTTACTATCGCATTAGATACACTAAAAATTAAAATTGCATGCAACATTAATATAAATTAATTCAAGTAATAATTTAAATTTTATTTTTTTAGAATGTAATTTATTTTAACATTTGATTATAATATATACTATAATATTATAGACATATAAAGACTATGAGTATCCATTAATTTATTAAAATAGTAGATGTCATTAGTATACCAGAAAATAACTATTATTTTATTTTGTTTACATTATACCAGTTGATTTAAGGAAATAATTAATTTTAACTATTTCTAACATTACTAATATTATTAAAGTTACAATCAGAATACCTTCCTATGATGGTATAAATTGGTCTCAATTTCTAGTGGTGTAATAAAATATTTAATTTCCCAACCCACCAATACTGCAACTCTCTTAATAATTCCCTATCTAATAAACAATTAATTTCTACCTAAACAATTTTTATTTTTCACAAAATCAAAAATTAGTATTAAATTATTTGAAGATAAAAACTTTATTAATTATTATATGTTGTACCATTGATTATAAATAATAGTATTTATAATCAATGGTTATACTTAATATGTAAGCATAACAGTGGACAAAGAATGCCAGTGGATCTAATTCATGTAATTTAGATTCACATACCTACTCCTAAGAATATACCACACTGTCACATGATAGATGTCTAATCATAAAATTATAAAATAGCGATAAGACTAGAAGCTAATAAAATAACAATAATAATAATAATAACGAAAATTAAAATTTTGTACCTACTAAACAAATCTTTACTTTTGAAAATAAAAATTATAAGGAAGTAGGTAGGTACAATAGATAGGTAAATATAGTATAGATAGATAGTAAATAGGTTTTCAATCTTTTTCTGAAAATTTTAATCTGCTACAATTAAATTGGCCAATTTACATCACTGCCTATACTAAAAACAAAGTATTTATTCAGAGTTGATATTTTATATTAAAGTATTGATGTAGGATTAATGTAAAAATTTATCATGGAAAATAAAAAAAAGAAATACTTTTGGATCATAAAATACCCATTCTGTTTACATCATTTTAAAACTATCTCTTAGTCATCTAAAACAATATTACATTAAATTCTAATTGCACAATTCATAATTATAATGTAATCATACTATAAGAATAATATCTTCTTTATAATTAAAATTATAATATCAATCCTATACAAATTTCCATTTAAAATATAATTAATATTTATTCCTATACAACTATATTTTTAATTTTAATAGGTACAAGATATTAAACAAGTAGTATACAGAATAGGATGAAGTAAGCAAATATTTTTATCTGTTTTTGGGTAAATCCTGATAAAAGTTTGAAATATTTATAGTACAAACTCAACAAATTAAGGCATTAATTTATTTTGCATGTAATTCAAATTTTAATGCTGATCAAACAATATTATCTTATTGCATCAGTTTATACAATACAGATATTAAGTTATTTATTGTCTATGGATATACACTACACAAATAATTATAATATTTAAATAATAGGGAAAATGATCTCACTGATAAATAAATTAAAAATAATCAACAAAAAATTGAACATACAACACAATTTATATTAATGTTTCATTAACTAACATTTTAATTTAATATAAGTTAACTTCCTAAATATAGCATATAAATAGTGCACACCAAAATATTAAGTATATTAGTACACAAAAATTAAAAAACAACTAAAAGAACTATTTAGTATTAACCATTGATAATTTACATTTGTATTAGTAAAAAATATTATGTAAAAGGATAAATTAATATCATATTTTTATGAGTAAACAATATCATTATGTTTTAAAGGCAAATCATAGCTAATTTTAATGATATAAATAAAAACAAAATTGATAAATAGTACCTAAAATAAATAACACACATGTATTATGTCTACATGGTTTGATGTTTTGGATATTGAAAAAAAAAAATGTAAGAACATTTATAATTAACAAATGTTCTTAATACCAGCACATTTATTCTAAATATATAAAAAATATATTTAAATTTTAAACCATGTCTACTCTACATGTTTTCATAACACTATTATAATTGGTGAATTTGTCTGGTATTATAAACTTATAGATATGGAATCTAGTGACCATAATTTTAAATACTAAGCGTTATAACAATAATAATAAAAGCTATTACAGTGGAATCTTGGTATCTCATAGTCTAGAGGGACCAAAAAAAAATTGACAAATCGAAACTTCAAGTTACTAGAGAATCATATTCAATACTGAATGATCAGGACTGAAAAAAATTTCATACAAACATACAGAAACTTCGAGATACTGGAGTTCAAGATAGCGAGGTTCCATTGTATAATTTCTTAGAATATTTATGATTAGACTTTTATTAAGCTAACTCAATACCAAGAAAATGTAATATTTTGATAGTTTCTATGTAACGATAGATAAGATAAAAAATAGAAGGAATTAATTAATAATTTAAAAATAATATTTAACTAATTAAAAAACAAAAAATGTATTTATAATTTATTACATACTTTATCTTATAATATTATCTAAATTACAATTGATAAAATAATTTATTTAACTTAAAATGGTCATTTAATTTGTCTACTACTAAATCCTAAATCATAATGTATTATAAAATTAAATAACAAAGTTATAAATTAATTTTACAAACAATATAAACTGAACAAGTAATATAACAAATGTTTAGTTTATTTGTACAAATGTAATTCATCAATAATAAATAAACTATAGTTATGAATTGTGAATAAAGAAATATAATGAATAATGAAAGATAACGTAAAATATAATATATTATATTAAATGTGATGATGTTGTGATGGATTGAGTATTCATTCACATAATTTAACTACATTATTTGTTATTAAGAATCGTATTATAACTTATAAATACATAAACATATTATATTATTCAGAATAATAATACTTGTTTACATTTTCAATGCTTTTTAGGGATAAAGCATTAATTCATATTTCTTTATTTCTACATTTTAAGCAATAATGAAATTAACTTTTATATTTCACAATAAAACAGTGGTATTTTGTTTAATCTTAATATAGTAGCAAAATTGTATTTTGAGTTATACTCAGTTTTATTTTTCCACTAAAATAGTTCAATAAATGGTTCATAATTTAATTCAATAATAAAAACAAAAATCTGACCTTATTTCAATATACTTACTTTTAAAAGTATATATTGAGGGATAGAAAAACTCAAAATGGTATCTCTAAAATGAATAAAAAATGTCTCTAACCTGAACCTTCAAACTTAAGACTTTAAATTAGATGAAAAATGTATATCAAGATGAACATAGTTTTCAAAAAAAAAGAAAAATATACTTAGCACGTGGGTGCAGCCACTGTTGTAGGTGGGAAGTTGGGAAGATAGGATACGGATAGGAATTTGATGTATATCTGTAAGAAATGATAAACCATTGGTAACGAAAAAACAATTCTGAGCGGAGTTTAGTTCATAGTGTTGATTTGTCAACAACATATATTATGTCATATTATGGTAAAATGATTACAACAATTTTAGTTTTCATGACAACAATGATTGTTTAAAAAAGATTTTAAATAATAAAAATTGTATAATAACAAAAAATAAATAAAAACGGATTCCAATGATAATTTTATTTTTAATCTTTCAATCTTTTTTAACCTAATGAACCAGATTTTCCTCATTATCTCAGATATTAATGAGAATTTCAAAAAATGACCTCTTTAAAGTACCACGCACAAAAAATTTCCTTTCAGAAAATATGCTATAATTGATAATCGGAATATTCTTTCTGGTAGAAAAAGTGTTCACATCAAAAATAAACATCATTGTAAAACCAATACATTCCTCGCTCCGCTCAGAATCTAAAATATTTTTATGAAAATCTGCTATATATTTTAATGATATTGAAAGCTTTTTGAAATAATTATATTTTTTATTGGATAATCATTATACTTAACCAATGCATTATATAAAATCAAGTAATGTATATTCTAGATATTATTTACTTGATTTAAATAAAGTCAATAATAACATTGTATTGCATTATTAAAGATAAAATAAAACAACTTTGTATAGAAACTAATACATTGTTGTTTCTTAATAACCCAATTCTATTTACATGATACAAAGGATGATTATTATAATAACTGTTAGTAAATAAAATTGCAAAATTGTTTGATATAATAAATATACATAATAAAAGATAAATAGTTTGAAGAGAAGAAAAGACTAGATATGAAATAAACTAAAGATGTAGTATGGTGAGTTAACACTCTACAGTTAATTAACAATATTAAGTTCAGTTGAAACAATCAATATAAACAAAGAGTTTAAAGTGGGCAGTACAATAGGGCAATTATTGTGTGATGTAGTTTTGGTCCCAAACTATAGACCACTGAACACAACAAAATTTGAACTATAGATTTAAGCTGACATGATGGTTCTGGAGACTGAGGGATCATTACTGGTTCGCAAAAAAATGCTAACTCTTCACGAATTTGAATAGCTTTACTGTATTGACAGATCCCATCAATAATTTAATATATCGTCAGAAAATGACAGGGAATAAGAATAAATTAATTCAAGATGATATATAATATTCATTTCAGCTTTTTAATAAAACCATAACCAAAACCATGTAACAACTAATTATAAAATATGTTAAAAATACACCAAAATGTATTTAATAATTTAATTTAGTATAATATGAATATAATAAAATAAATAACCTTGAATTTATTTTAAGATTATATAATATTTTGTTAGTAATAAAATACTTTACAGTAATGAAACAATAAAGATTTGTATGGAAATTTCTTAATTCTAAGATAGTAAGAATATTATTTTCAGAATAATCAAAAATTAACTAAAATTAACTAAAATGTTTATTAAAAATGTACATCACATACATTTTGAAAATCTAAAATAGTTTAAACTGAAGAATTTAAACCCAATCTGATTTTAAAATATGGTTGTTTATTTTTGTATCCTAATGAGTTTGTGTGGTCATATGCCAATGAGAAGATTAAATAACATCAGCATTGACTAACTAATCTACTATGATTAACTTTATCAAAGACCTCCTCAAGATTAAATTAAATTATGAATACTTTAGTAAATAATTTATACTAAAAATACAAAAAATTAGTCAAATTTAAATATAATATGATACTTACTACTTTTTTTGTTTAATTTTAATGGTTTTTATATCTTTTACAAATTTTGAATCAAATACCGATATTATGTTGTGTAAAATAATTACCTACAACCAATGTTATTATTTTATGTTCAACTGAAGAACATTTATTGTACATGCTAAGTATTAATTAGCTACATAAAATCTAGGTACTTAATTAAAATATAATATATTGAGTTAAACTATAAAACAAAACTAAAACATTCATACATTATTTAATGACATCCCTAATGAAAATAATATATTGTTTAATAACTACTCTTTTATTTCAATATACTAAATATTGTAATATTATAAAAATACTAGCAGTCCTCCATCCACTGCTGACCATGCCAAAGAAACAATTGTGTAATAAAAAAACGATTTCCCCATGAATTCCTTGCTTCAACCCTCGTCACTATCACTACAGTTAACTTTAAGTTTTTAAGATGCATTTTATTTTCAAATTTATAGGAATCAGTTATATGGTTGCTAAGCAAAGAAAAATATTTATAAATTATTATTTTGTATACAGCCCAAATTACTATAGTCTAAGTTTACTACTCCTAAAGATTAGATAAAAGATTTTACAAATACCACACCTAAATTGATCCAGTAGTTTCAGAGATTACTTGTTACAAAAAAATACCATTTTACATTCAAGTATTATATTATAATAGTTTTTTGAATTCTCAATAATCTAAAAATATTAAACCATATGTGACAATGATCTACCTGGTATTTTTAATTAAATAAAAAGTATTATGACCGTAAATCATACTAAACAATTATTTTTAACAATTTTTGGCACCATAAATATTGAATTAAATAAAATCATTAGGTAATACACTTTACAACCTACAGTAACAGTAGTCAGTGGATTTTAAACAATTATAAAGAATATAAATATAATATTAACTCGAGTATTAACTTAGATGTTAACTCTGTTTTAACAAGTAAGCAAGGACAATTTAAAATATGCAAAAGAAAATGCAATCACTGTGATTAGTGATACCTAGGTATGTAATAATAGGTATATAAATACCTATTTGATAAATTAAGCTATAATAAAAAGGTTTCAGAATTTACCTTGCTTTTGGAATATCTTCCGGAACTTTCTTAGTCTTTTCGTGTACAGACAGTATTTCGCACAACAATAAATCAAACCATGCGATTTTCTATGTAAAAATAAAATACAAGTATAAATACATATAGCATTATTGTCAATATTTTATATTTTTTATTAAAAATCAAACATATCAACTCAGAAAACAAAAAAACAAAATGGTTTAAATTTACCAACCACCTTTAAGCTTAGCTTGTGTTGGTACCTAGATTGAATACTTATATACAATAAATTGAAATATATTACTGTTAATAAAATATATGCCTAGGTGCCTAATATAGGTAAGTATGTATAGGTACCTATATACATATGTACCTATGTAAAAATAAATACTCACATAATCATTTTTAAGTGCGTTTCCCACAATATTATTGCATTTCAAATAGGCGTCCCAAAATATATGTATTTTTGATGGTTTGATGGGTGCTGAATGATCCATGTAATTGTAGAAATCTATAACATCATTATATAAATACTATTATTGTGTTTATTGACGGGAAAAAAATACACACAAACTTTTTGATACCACTCGTTAAGTTAAATAGTAATGATTAATTCAAAATTGAATAACAATAATAAAATATTTAGGTTTTAATAAAAATATGAAAAAAAAATAAAAAAACCGGAAGACCACCAAAACCGATTACATAACACCGCGATTGGCAATAGACTGTAGACGACACAGATGAGGACCTACAAAATTAAAAAACGTAGATTCCAGTTGTTATTGGCGCGCTATCACGTATCACGTATCATGTGACGCGGTCTTATCAACAACATTACTAACGTAGGATTAGCCGACCTGAATAGACTATACTATAGCAATACTACTTTATACTGATGCAGCGGTAGTCGTGTACACCGTACTATTTCTATGTCAACTCGACTGGAGCAAACATAATAAATTAATATTTTTACCGATAGGTAGGTATCGTTCGTTTTGATCCATAAAATATTACTCTGTTTCGACCAGACAAATCAATTGGTCAAGTGTTTCGAGACTGACGTATTTATATAATAACGGTACTCATACAAACTACATAGTACATACCTATACCTACTAACTACTTTTAGATGCTGATCACAGCGAGAAAGTATTGAATTTACTGTTGTTTTATTTTTCCTGTCTGTAAACAGCTTTTACCAGAAAACTTGTTCCATTTTTAAAATAAAATTGTGTAGGCACCTACATCGATTTTTTGATGACCCTTATAGTTTTTAGAGTTTTCAAAATAATAAGAAAAAAAAAAAACGAGAAAATGTACTCATCAATGATGGTTTCCGTTATTTCAATTTTATTTAGTTATTATAATTTGGTAAGAAATAATCACAGAGACTTAAAATTATCTTTGAATGCTTACTTGTATTAGCACTTTAGACATGAAAAAAATTTTCAAACTTTCCGACTATTATTGAGTTATTTCTAGCCATTTGAAACTGTCAAGTTTTTAAATTTGTATTTAGGTTTATGTGGATAAAACATCCTACTTACAACTAGTGCCGAATTAACCTTTAAGCAAAATAAACCCTCGAAACAATTTTTTTTTTTTGTATTGAAAAAATGTAAAACTAGTGGATTTGCTCATTAAGTCGATAATTAAACTAGACCCGGCATCTGCCGAATGTTTTTCAGACTGTATCTGTCGAATTATTCGACCATTTAAAGGGGACAAAATTCGGCCGACAGAACATCCAGTTTTCTGTTGATTTCATTAAAATTGTATTGTGTATCTCAATTTGTTAATTAATAATTTTACTCAGTGTTGAATCCAGACAATTTTTTTTTGAGGGGAGGCATTACTAAAATAGTAGTAAAAAACCTAGTAATGACTTTTTTTTACTCATACATTTTTTACTCTTACTAAGACCGGTCAAATACCTAGATTAAAAACTGACTGTACTTGTACCGTGACCCGTATTGAAAACAAATAAATAAAATTATTTACTATATGCATACACGTGTCACAAAATATTTTGTTTTCATCAGACATCGGCCGTGTACAACTAAATTTATTAAATGTAACCAGTACAATTTAATTTCATACTTATATTTTTTTCGTCCGTGTTCGGCAGAACCTTAATTCGACTGATACTGGGTCTAGTCTAACCGTAGCCTAAGTAAGTTTGGTCATAAAATTATCAGTATATATATTTCACGATTATGGCCAAACGCCGTGGTAAAATTTGTAAAATCTCTAGACTTGGATGATGTTATTTAAATTTTTTAGAATGAAAAAGCTAGAAAAAAATAATTATATATAATTGAAAAGAATAGACAAGTGAACAGTAGCAACGATGATAGTGACTAATTTTATAGTAAATAATATACATATATTTTAGTAAATATTATTTATATTCATTAATAAAATTATAATTTTTTTTTTAGTTTGTAGTTTAGAAGTACGATTGAGAAATAGGCAGGTGTATACTTTTTTTTTTTTTTATTCTTTATGGCCAATTAGGCCCTTCTGACTTATTTGCTTAAAAGGACGCTATACTCGCATCTACTGTCCCAGTCCAACTACCAGGTAACATACATAAACAATGCTTACGCAGAATAAGTAAAACTAGCTGAATTTTGATTTTAAAGAAAATTTTATAAAAATATCGATTATAAAATTTATAGAGAGCAATATTTTGGAGGGAATATCATAGGGTTTTTATATTATTCAAAATATAGAGCTCAATATAAAAGATACAAAAACCTTTATTTTTTGCTTTTTTAAATAACTGTAACTTTTGTAATAGTTCATAATTCAAAAAACACCGACAACATTATTGCAGACGATTCTAAGTGGAGTTTTTTTAAAACTTTTTTGATAAATTTAAACTGATTAAAATGAATGAAAATTACATTCATTTGTAAGTTATAACTAAAAATTAATTACAATTGTTTTAAACGAATTTTATCATACATTTTAACTTAAAACTGGGTTTAATCTTAGAGTAAGATTTCTGGTTGAAAAGTTGTTCAAAATTATTATCTTTATATAATATTTTTATTTATATTATTAATTTACCTATCTTTGTAAAAAAAAAAAAAGCTTTTAAAAGGAGGCTATTGTTCTTACGTCTGTCGTCAAATGCGACAATACAAATTTGGTAATTTTACTATTGTTTAAATACTTATATTAATATAAATTGTGCTGAATCTATCATACAAACTACAGATTCCCGAAGTTTAAAGAATTTTTTTTATTGATTTTCTTGATCTTATCTTTGAAATAAAGGTCGAAACTAAATACAAAGTATTACGTAGACAGAAACCTTAAAAGTCAAACTTTATTAGATTATAGTGACATAATAAATGTTTGATCGAATTACATGTATTGATTTCACATAATATTAAATATATATAATATTGTATATGATTACTATGTACACTAAAACTATTAACAAACAAATAATCCACAAGAGTAAAAATATTATCATAATAATCACTCAGTAATCAATATAATATAGGTAAGGTAAACATTTACAGGTAATGTACATATTTAGTTGCAAATTCTAATTTTTCTTTTATTATGTAGATATAGGTACTGCAGATGCATTAAAAATATAACTCTATAAAAATGTATATTATATAATAATATGTAAAAAAAAACTATACTCTATGCAATACAAATTGTATACAATCGGTATACCTAAGGCTACTTAATCAAATACAGATACTTTAATAAATTTAGGTATTTATAATACAAATTTGTAGTGACAGTATTTTAAAATGTTCAAACTGTGTATTGCTCGTTGTATCGTAAATCATATAATATTACTTATGTTTATAATAATATGTATATTTACAGATTTACTTACAAACATTAGTTAAATCCATAAATAGACGTCCATTGTGGAGACAGGGAAAGGACATATTCCTCTGCGGGTTTAAATGTACATAGATATTAAATTGTATAAATTGATTACAGAATAAATGTTATTAATATTGATACTGTAAAATAAATAAAACTGAACATTTTACAAATACTGGAATAATATTTATTAATTGTTAAACATACCTATCAATTCAACAGTGTATAGTATTATAGTCGATTTATTTTTTTTATTTGAAATTTAACACACAGTCGTTTTTCTTATCGATAGATGGTGTACAAACTTGATAGGTAACCTACCTAATTATAATATTTTAATAGGTCAGGGTAGTGGGGATTGTGAAAACTGATTTCTACCAAGACAAATATGTCAATGATGAATAGAAATTCACATTTTATGTTTTTCTCCCACCTTCCTTGGATTAATTGGATTTCCCTAGATGGATGCCCTTGGCCCTTAAATCCACAATATTGCAGCGACATCTGTAATAATTATACAGATTGTAAAATAGACAACTAAAACGTTATCGAAGAAGTTCGGTCCGGACAATGAACGTAAGTATATCTTATCAGAGGTTAAGACCTCAGTCAACCATTTTATCGAATAATATTATTATTTTAAATTGCCTACTAAGCAATTTGTATAGAATTTAGCCAGTATAAGTATTAAATGTAGCTAAATAAGTCTGCCGAGTGTGGACTGTATATAAGTATGGCTACAAGTACCCAATAAAACTATTTTAATTTCATTTATATTTATCACATCAATCTTTAACACTGAAAATTATTAAAAATTTACATCATCTTTATAGTTGAAAAATATGTACCAATACCTATTTAAACTTCTAATTCTATAAAATTAGATATTATACATTTTAACTATACCATCAGTCAATAACAAAAATAATATAATATAACCTAACTTATCTAAATAGATTATAGATTATATAAATATACTTATATTTTGTATAATGTTATAAAATATTAGTGCAGCAAGGAAAGTATTCGTTTTACTTATTTTGCTGTCTCTTTTCTACCATAAATCTTGGTACGATTTTTCATTTTTATTTTATTTTTTATCATTCAGAATTTTTTCGAAAGCAAATTAGGTGGCAAAATGTTAAAAACATTTTATAGCTATTTTCGAGCTCAATAGGTTTCATGCAGATAAAATTATTCTAGCCTAATCAAAATATATTAAAATTTAACACGCGATTCATAAGTTCACTAAGTTGTACTTAGTGATAAAACAAAATTGAATGTAATGCAATAATTTTGTTTACAAGTATAATGTTTAAAGTTTTGATGAAAATCGTACAAATCAAAGGAAATATTTGCATACATTCGTGAGTAATGATTTATCGTTACGTACAGATATAACTTAACTTTTTGTATACTATCTTTTCAACGCCCCACCCACAGCAGTGGCACACCTATCAGCAAAAACGAATATATTTTAAAATATATATTAATATGACCCAACTATAATTCAAACTAGTAACTATTTTTGTGTGCACTACGACAGACTTAGCGCAGTACGAAATCCCAAATGTGCATTACGAAAAATTAAAATGTATACCTGCCATTTACGTTTTTTTTTTATCATGGATGAGCAACTAGGTTTCGCAGATGTAAGGAAAACATATTTTTTTAAAGTATTTACAGTGTAATAAATCCTCGAAAAAAAAACAAACATGTTAACAATAGGCTTGAGGAATGAAGAGTAGCACTTAAAAGAAATGGACCAAGAATAAGTATAAATTAGGGTAACAAAATATAATATAATTGTAAAATTGTAGAGTAGCTTTTAAGCAATAAAATGTTCAGTAATACAATTGTCAAAAAAAGTTAATACTTTCCGATATAATGAGTGCCTTATGATAGATTGATCACTCTGTAGAGCAGCAGTTATCAAACATTTGGCGCACACGGACCTCCGATGAAAGACTTTTAGAAATCGCAGACACCTACCAATACCTTTTTTTTTTTACAAAATATCTTATGTTATCATAATTAATATTTACCGATAGAGCCGGCGCGGACCCCCAGGGAGCCATGAACCACAGTTTAAAATATTTGGAGGGACAGAATAGAGAGTTAACGACAATAAGAAGTGGCATAATAGGTGAGATTGTGAGTTTTAAGTAACTAGTTTCTTTTCTACAACAGAACAATGTCTTATTAATTAATAAATGTTGGAGGAGAGAACCCTTCTTTCTTCTCCCCCAGAAGAAAACCGAAAAAGAGGTGTTAGGATGCGATTGAGAATAATATGAGAACAGCCGGTGTGCGTGAGGTGGGCGATCGGGTTAAGTGAAAGTTCAATAGAATGGTGACCTACCCCAAATAACAGCTTATACAAAATATAGCTCTAAAATGTTATATTACAGTTATATTTTGTTATTCTTAGTTTTGGGGGTTGAAATCCCTACCCACTTTTGATTTTATAACAGGAACCTACATTCAAAATTTTACTAATAGATAAAGTTTTAGTTTAAAAAAATTTGACGTTGACATTTTAAATGTCTATCAATGATCAATCCTACCTTTATATACATCAAACTTAAATACATGTATGTGTACTATAGAAAATCTGAAAAAATAGACACTGATTCAAACAATGATCCTGCAACCATTACTATGTAAAGAAGTGATTCATGTCAACGATTAAAATTTATGTTCTTTATATATTACTCATCTAATCTATAATTATAAATATTTAATTAAGATTGGTCTAATTTAATTAATACACATATTCATGATGCACGAAAACATGTAAAAAAATTGGATAACACAAATAGGACTGCCACCTTTTTTAAATAAAAAAGTATAAAGTACACTATATGAAATATATATACAATATACATACACCTTTAACCTTTTTTTTTATTGCTTAAATCTATGCCACCTTTATCCAGATATTGGTATACACGGAAAAAAGAATTCAAAACTTAATTAACATTTATTGTTTTTTTTTAAACAGCCAAAGATTTTTTTTCATATTTAAAAATACCTACCTAGATTTACTAATTTCTACTATAAGTCAATCAATACTTTTATACTTTTATATGTTTGAACTAAAAAAGCAATTTAGGTAAGTGACTTACCCAATTTTTAGAGGTAAGAAGGTAAGAGGTAAAAAGTTTGAGGTAAGGAAAATAAAGAAAATATTGAAATATGGTTAGAGTGTTGACCAGTTACCCTCAGTGGCTATTATCGGCATTTAATAAATATAACAGTTACTCCCGACTAAATATACTAGTTGCTCTCAACCAAATGTAACAGTTACTTATCCTTTCCGTAAAAAATATACTAGGGTGTTTCAGAATTTTTTTTCATAAGATGTTCTTTTCGTGATATTATAATCCTTAGAACTTAATATTTGCCAATTTTTTTCGGATTTTTTTTCACATTTGGTAAGGTCACGAGCATCGTTTTCAGGAAAAAATTGAGTTTTTTATTTTTTATGTGTGTAAATAATACATTTTAAGGAGATGTTATTGGATAAAAAATTATGAGAAGAAAAAACAAATGTTTATACATATTTAAACATATTTTTTTCAAATTAAATAATCTAAATTTCATCTCTCGTTTAGACCTTTAAAAATAATTTTTATAAATCAACCGTTTTAACCACCTTAAATACATTTTTTATGGGTTGAAAATATGTATAACTTATTTTCCACTTATTTAACAATAGAATGGTTATGCTTGTATAGTGAGTTATACTTGATATGACTTTAAATCAAATTATTTTTACTATTATTATAAAAGAGTGTTGGATAAATATGAAAAAAGATTTCTGGTAGAAAAGTTGTTCATAGATGAAAAAAAAAATGAAAAATATATGAACATCATTATAAAACCAATATATTTCTCTTTACGCTCCGAATCTAAAATGACTCCAATACATTTGATAATGATTATAATATTCAAAATATGTTACCACGTGGGAATAAACCTAGAGTGTATAATGTATATACTCATATGGCCGTGTATACATGTTTGTTTATATACTTATTAGTTATTATCGACTGCAAGCCGGAAGATTGACTCAAGAATTTATAATATTAATCAGTATTGAAAATGATAAAATTGTATATTGTTTTTAAATTAGATGTTAACGAAGCAATTATAAACCTTTTAATTTAAAAAATCAATAACAAATATATTTTTAATCGATATTATCTATTATTGTAACATTTGTTTGACTACGTCTAGAGTATGTATTTTTTAAATTGTAATTGACCAATGACCACTCTTTGTACCAAAGTATCAGTTCCTAATTTCCATGACGTACCTACAGTACGAAAATAAAATGTATATAGTGACGTGAGTATATAGCTAGGGCATACCCATAATTAAATAACAGCATATAATTGGTAACATAACAAATAATATTAAAATAAACGCTCCATTGTTTTAATAATTTGTAAATTGTAACACCTAAGAAAAAATATCATATAAAGCCCGTAAAGGCCAAAGTAAAATAACAATAACGATTACTTAATTAAATGTTGTAAATGTTAGTAACTTATAAATTGTTGTGGTAAGGTTTTTTTTAAATTTTAATTTGAAATATCAGAAAAAACAAAACCTTTACCTATTACCTACTACATAAAATTTGCAAAGTAAATTGATTAAAAATAATATTTTATTTTCATTGTACATATAGGTGGTAAAAAGAGAGTAATAATCTTACAAATATTTCAAATGCATAAGTTTGTGACATTTATTTGGATGTTAGTAACTTGTAATCATACCAAAACGATAGAACGGATATAAAATTTAGCACGCATATAGAATATTTTCTGGATTAACACATAAAATACATTTTATCTCGGTAATAAGTTCCTGTAAAAAACATGGGGATATCGTTTTAATTGCAAATTCCGAGCGTAGCAAGCGAACTATTGGTTTTACTATTGTGTTTATTTCTTCTTTGTTCTAGACTATGAACACGTTTTTTCTTAGTAAACTTGCTCCGATTATTATGTGAAGCATATTTTTTAAATCTCAAGTTGTTTAGATTGTACTTTAAAGAGGTAATTTTTTGATTTTCGACACCATTTTTAAATAAAAGCACTCAATTTCACGATTTTATTATTTTATAAAAATACGGATGACGTTTTTTACCAGAAAAAAAGATTTAATCGAAAAATCACAAAATACCTTTTTTGTTGCCTTTTTGATTTAATTTCTAATGGTATTATTGCCA